TACCTTATTTCCCAGGCACACACTTTATGTGATAAGAAAAGTGTGTGAGACATGACAATACCAGCTTATTGCGGAACACTAAGTAAATATTTTAACTTTATCTAATTTATTAAAGTGAATTCCGTTTTAATTATCGCACCTCTAATGAGATAATTGGATGCAGTACTGTACTGTACTACATGCTGAAAATTCCATATTTGCACCAAAATACTGTTTGGAATGAATCAATTATTATTGATTATGCAGTTTAAGGCATGTTAATTTTACCACCGAAATTGTGAAACACATAAAAACATTGAACTGGAGACTTTCAGCAGAATGTAGTTGGATTGTACTCATGAGTCTGCAATCACTAATATCTAAGCTCCGGTGCCTATCTTAAAGAACATGCCGAAAACCCGCTAAATAGATCTGGATTAATATTCAGCATATAATAATCACATTAATTACCGAAGCGCGGATCGGAAAAGCGAGGGAAGCTTTCATTTCTCTCAAGTCTGTGCGAGGAGATCAACAACACTCAGCAGGAAAATGTAAATAACATCCGGATTTTCGACTCAAATGTCAAGTCACTGCTACTCACTTTATGGATCAGAGAATTAGCACCGTGCCGTGTCACGAAGGCCACTTAGAACAAACCACACACCATCATCAACAGCTGTTTTCGCTCAATACTACACAAAATCAGATGGACGACCAGAAGTGATCAGCGACAGGGAGGGATCTCTGCAATGAACCAACCAATCAACCAACCAACCAACCCAGAAGGAACCAATTGTGCAACAAATATGCATGCAAGAAGAAATGAAGGTGGATTGGCTGGCCATACTCTAAGAAGACAAACCGTCAATCGAGTGACATCATACGTCAGGCCATCGCTCGAAACGGAATCCGAATGGGAAGAGGCGAATTAGTTGGTCGTCAGTGCGATGGTGACATGGAGGAGGTGGGGCAAAGAGGAGATGAAATAATGTGGGCAGACGTAGAGTGAGGTGAAAACGTTGGCGGGAACCGACGCAATGGAGACGTCCAGCTGAAGCCTTATGTTCCTCAAGGAACTAAAGGAGATAATAACAATAATAATAATACAATTACTATTCCTTGGCACAATCATCTTAAGTTTGCAGTGTTATTTAAACTGAAAATTATTTTTAGGTAATTACCTTGCCTATTCAATTGTATATAAGTAGTAAAATAAATTCTAACAATTTTCGTACGTGAACGATCAGACACATCAAATAAAAGATTCATAATTTAATAAAAGGTAATACTATTTCTTTAGCATCTTAATTCTGTGGAGAATACGCTTTCGAAAGTGTATTAAGCTTATATACTTACAAAATATATCCAGCTACATAAACACTTGTGTTAAGTTGCTCTTAAATCTCAAATCAAGCGAAAATAAGGTTTGACATATTCCAGCTTCTTCACAGGTAGTATGATGAATATATTGAGAATTTATGGTAGGTTATTCTTTTTGTCGTCTTGGCTGTCAGCTATGCTCCTCACTAGTTAATTTGGTATGTCTTTACTTAAATAAAATAACTAAACAAAATTAAGCCGCTGGGATCCGATCCAACGGCCAGCCTATGAATTTTAAATTCCACCTGCCTGGATACTGGGTGGTATCATTCATTGATTTAAGCGATACATAACTGTAGCTCATAGCTTTACAAACTGTAGGATGTGATTCTCTTATTTTACAGCTTTGTAGAATTTTGAAGTTATATCACACTTAATAGAAAATAATAAACAATAAATGTCAACTTGTCAGTAGGTTTATTGTATTTCTTTAGTGCTTGACAGATTCCTAGAGAATTATTCTTCACATTTTCCCCTCTCTATCTCCCTCTTCCCAAAATTTCTCACCCTTTAGAGATACTATTTAGGGTAACATTTTATTGTAGTGAAATAATATGAATTATGACTATATATATATATATATATATGTCAAGAAACCGATTTAATTTTTCGTAGAATTCACTTCATAGCTGTACAGTTATTCAAGAGGTTGAATATATATATATATATATATATATATATATATATATATATATATATATATATATATATATATATTGTTACCTCCTCTAGTTCCTGGAGGAACATAAGGCTTCAGCTGGACGTCTCTTGCGTTCAGTTGCCCGCTAACGTTTTCACCTCACTCTACGTCTGCCCACATTATTTCATCTCCTCTTTGCCCCACCTCCTCCATGTCACCATCGCACTGACGATCAACTAATTCGCCTCTTCCCATTCGGATTCCGTTTCGAGCGATGGCCTGACGTATGATGTCACTCGATTGACGGTTTGTCTTCTTAGAGTATGGCCAGCCAATCCACCGTCATTTCTTCTTGCATGCATATTTGTTGCACAATTGGTTCCTTCTGGGTTGGTTGGTCGGTTGATTGGTTGGTTCATTGGCAGAGATCCCTCCCTGTCGCTGATCACTTATGGTCGTCCATCTGATTTTGTGTAGTATTGAGCGAAGACAGCTGTTGATGATGGTGTGTGGTTTGTTCTAAGTGGCCTTCGTGACATGGCACGGTGCTTATTCTCTGATCCATAAAGTGAGTAGCAGTGACTTGACATTGGAGTCGAAAATCCGGATGTTATTTACATTTTCCTGCTGAGTGTTGTTGATCTCCTCGACACAGACTTGAGAGTGGTGAAATCTTGCATTGCTTTCCAGATCCTCGCCGCTTTGATATCCCCTTCAGTGCCATCTGCTTGTAGTTTAAACGATGGTTCCCAGGTCGCTAGGTATGTGAAGGAGGTTTCTTTTTTCAGATTTATACCATTTATACTGGTTGTTGTCTTTCGTTGTTGCTGTTGGTGTTGGCCAGGAGTCTTCATCAACACATCTGTTTTCTTTACAGGCACTTGAAGTCCTTCCTATATTTGATGGTTCCTCTGCCAACTTGTTGCTTTTCACTTGCATATCTCCCAGTTTTTTGGACATCAGACATATATCATCATGGGCGAAATCCAAATCCAAGTATTTTGTGTTTGTGCGTGTCCATTTTATGCCTGTCTCCCCGCTTCCCGCCACTGTCTGTCTGTCTATCACATTATCCAGTCTATCGCAATCGGGCAAATGGTTATAGATATTATGCAGCCAGCTCATCTTACTCCCGTCTTCATTTCAAACTTAATATCAGTAGCATTTTAGATGAAGTTCAGGATATTTCTAGTTAATTTCCTACCAATGAAGCAGTCGCCATTAAATGGCTTAAACTAATCTTATGTATTCATCAGGAGGAAACTGCTGTAGATCCTAGGAATAGCTGAGTAACTATAACCTGTAGAGAATTTAATTTAGTCTTTTTAATACGAAAAATAAAAGTGACGATCATAGAATTAAATAGATAGCATAACAGTCAAGCATAGTATTATTTATTGCTCACATTTCTTCACACAGTTATCTATGTCCATGGGTGGTTCAATGGTAACAGGCTCGGCAATCACTCAGAATGTCTGGATTCGATCTCTGGTGGGCTTGTAGGTATGCGCCACTAAACAGTCCCAAACTAGGGTCAGAGAACTCTCCAATACTTCCTGGATTTCACTGTTACAATAACTGATATTAATTCGTGAGAAAATCAAAATCCCCTCTAGGACACCTAATCAGAATATTAATTCCCGACCACTGGTAGGCACTGGATGGATATTCTGAAATTATCCTGGAAAATCACGGAGATTCTGGTTAACCACCGTCAAGAAGAGATGGGTGCTCATTCAATGCATTGCTTGAAGGTAGCGCTAAATCACAAAGTGACAAAGTTACTATTTAACAGTCACCAAAGGGCCGCCAAAGTGTCTGATTAGTCTGACGGCTTGGTCTCGTGACCCGAAGGTTCCAGGTTCGATCCTTGATTATATAATGGATATACTGCTGAAGTGTCTCTAACTAGGATGAAGTGGATGTCCATTGCTCGGTGTTTTTTAGTGATCTCTAAATGCCTCTGGTTCCTGACAAAATCTATAATGGATTAACCCAAATCTTATGAAAACCCATGATCTGAGAGTTACGTGGATTATTTATTAAAAAATATA